GGGAGGGAGGGCCCAGGATCCCCACTGGTGCTGGGGGGGGTGGGGTGGGGGCAGGGCTGACAGCTCCTAGGGCAGGGGCCGGAAGCTCCTAGGGAAGGGGTTCTCAAACTGGGGGTTGCAAGGTTATTACATGGGGGGTCATGAGCTGTCAACCTCGACCCCAAACCCCGCTTGCCTCCAGCATTTATAATGGTGTTAAATATATAAAAAAGTGTGTTTAATTTATTACCGGGGGGGGAGAGGGGGGTCGCACTCAGAGGCTTGCAGTGTGAAAGGGGTCGCCAGTAAAAAAAAGTTTGAGCCTCACTGTCCTAGGGGGACGGAAAGCCGGGGGGCTCCATGTGCTGCCCCCATCACGAGCACCAGCTCCGCAGCTCTCACTGGCTGGGAACTGCAGCCAATGGGAACTGCGAGGGGCGGTGCCTGCAGGCAGGGGCGGCGCGCAGGGGCCCCTGGCCTCCCCGCCTAGGAGCTCTAGGGACATGCCGGCCACTTCAGGGGAGAGCCCCTGAGGTAAGCGCCGCCCCGTACCCCAACCCCCTCCCACACCCAAACTACTGCTGCTTGAGAGGAGGACGTGGTGGCCAGAGTCTGCCCCAGGAGCGGACGGCGCGGCTGCCCTAGCAACCCGGAGCCAGCCACACCGGCCGCTGCAGAAGCCATGGAGGTCACAGAAAGTCACAAAATCCGTGACCTCCATGAAAGACACGCAACCTTATTTATACAGTATCATAAATTTGCACGGTGCTTTGCAAAACTTAAATGGAGCGTCAGTGCAGAGGAACTTACAACATAAGATAAGGACAAGAGGTGACAAACAGAGGTTGAGGGATACAGTGATGAAGAAGGTGATGACAATGTAATCATGTGGTCATTTACAGGATTCATGCATCCGTACGGCTTTTTTAAAACATGTTATTTTTAGATTGTATTCCATCAACTTCCTTGATGTCATGCACTTTGAGGAAATTATTTGTTTTTTTAAGAGATTGTTTATATTTCTACTCCTGATCTCTACAGTCAAAAAAGACCTGTCTTGTACCCAAACTTAGATTCTCGTATGTCCAGGTCAGTCATGATGACACTAAATAGCTAACTGGTAGACTACAACCTAGATACCGAAAATAGGCAGACTAGAACACGTTAGTTACAATGAAGAATATCATAACCAACCGCTGATGTGGGTGTGATGCATTGAGACTGGACTGTTGCTCTTGTGCCACCATTGTGTCATTGTACATTTGTGTCTGCTCTTTATGTACAGATTCACATGCAGAGCTACAGAAGGGGTCTGAGAAGCACATCGGAACAGGAGCAGTTCCAATGGTTGCTGCATTATATCGTGTTACTGTAGCTGCACTCAGGAGTACCACTGTCATTCAAGAGTAGCTGATGCCTCATGGAAAACCTTGAAGAAAACATTCTACTCCTGAAACATACTTCTGGTCATATATTATTAAATGCAATAAAATAGGTTAACATAACATTAAGCAGGACCAGTTAAAAGTCAAAGTGCAAAAATTAAGATTCTGATAGCAGTATTTACTTGGTTTTGTTGCCCAGATTGTATGCTTACAGGATCCAGTCTATCCTAGCAAAAAAACAGGGTTATGCTACACAATCAGTTAGAAAAACAGGAAAAGAAAACATGTACATATGTATAATGTGGTCAAATTCATGCTGTTTTTGGAAGTGCTGGAGCATTTCCTGACTTTTCTGTTATTTAAAGTGTGCAATATTAATGACACAATGACTTTTTTGAAAGATATGATTTAATGTTTTCCTCTTCCCTTTAACAAAAACGATCTGTGCTTTTATGCTGGTATGTAAATAGTTGCACTTTGGCTTTGAAGTTCACTCCTCACTGAAGCCAATGAAGAGGGGAGGGTGAGTTCCCACTTTTGCTGTTGCTGTTTTGCCTTTCAAGAGTTTTTGAGCTTGGCAGCTGTGTATCTGTTTACTTCGTGGTGAAGACTCTTAGAACTGGGTTTAAAAATAAATAAATTAAAAAGAGGGCAGGTCCCAAATGTGTAGTATTTTGCAAAATGCAGCCAAATTGGAGAAACTAAATTTTCAGGATATGCCTGTAATTTTAAACTTTTTCCTCTCCATGAAGGTAAGAATTTGGGGGGGGGGAGGGGGGGCGGGTTTGAGGTGGAAGGAAGCAAGGATTTGCTGTGTATTATTTTTCAAGTTAAATGCTAACAGTCAGTTTCATGCAGATTGTTTTCATATTTATCAACCTCTACCACTTACAAACTTACAAACGAATATTTTTTAGTGTTTAACCTGCCCAGAACTCCAAAAATTTTCCATTGATTTGGTTCAAACTTTCAAACAAAAATTCACCTCCAAAGAAAAAATCAAGCATGGAAAACATTACCAAGCAAGAGCTTCAGAAAAGGTGAGAGTTCTGAAAAGCATTGTCATGTAGAAAGACTTTAAATGACAAGTGTTTTTCAGCGTTAACTATAACAGGCTCTCTTAGTGGTGCCTACAATATCTGTTTCATTACAGCAGAACATTTGCCTGAAAACAGAATATTAG